CATACCTAGCACTGCTTCCGTCGCACCTGCTTTACCCGGGCATCTATACCTGCCTGACAATCCGCAACTTCCTCTCGATCCTCGATTATCCAGTAATTTTGATCTTACTGAAGCAGGCGAGTCCGTCTCCTGCCTACCTGGGGCGTATAAATGGTCTGGCCGCTTCGGCCGGGGCGGCCTGCAGGACTGTGGCGCCGCCGATTGCGGGTCTCTTGTATGAATGGGGCTCCAATATTGGGTTTACGGGGCTGGCGTGGTGGTTCGCTGGGTTTGTTGCCATCGTTGGCGTTTTTCAGTTGTGGTTTGTTCCAAGGGAGAAGAACAACGGGGCGACGACAGTGGTCAAGTCGATCGTGCCTTGTTTGGACAATTCTGCTGGGGAAAGGGTTTCGGATGTGGTTGATGTTACTGTATTGGATGACGAAAATGGCGACCACGACCACGACCACGACCACGAATATGCCTATGCCTGATCTTGGGTTCTTACTGTGAACAAGAAGAAAGGGATACCACTGGATTTGAGACAGTCGGCACATTGGCGTTTTGACGGGGGGCTGGCATCTTCTAGAATCGGGTGGGGCCCTGGAGCGGACGGTCACCTCTGGTCAAAATTGACAGGACCAGGGAGTTAATGTATTTACAAGGAAGGGACATGATTCTTGGTTTTTGTCACATCAATGGCGCGAAGCGGGAGTGATGGTATGGCGTTCGTTTTACGGGCACGGAATTCTGGCGGAATGGATTTCTACGACCATTCATCCATCTACCCGCCCACCCTTTCTAGGCGTTATGTATTTGAGCGGGCGAGGTCTTGAGAAACACGACACGAAGGAATTTCCGGCCCCGCGCTGGAGCAGGAGCACTGGACGTTGCTTGACACGGACATGTCTACGAGTATCACTACCACAAGTAGAGCAGTTGTTTGTTTGTTTGTTTGTTTTCTAACGAAACGGTGAACGGCGTCGGATAGGGAGGAAGGCAGGAAGGCAGGAAGGCAGGAAGAGAAGGGGAATGGATAAAGAGAATTAGAAACCGACGGTATAAAAAAAAATGAAAGAAAAAAAGAGTTCTACATACGAACAGGAAAATTCCATTGTGTGGGTACAAGGTGACTGAGTGAGCGCCTATTACTTTTCACTGACTTAGCAGCTTACTATGGAAGCAGTTGAATATGAATTCGTCAGCCGGAACGGCTCGTTGGCTTCGGGCCATTCTATCCCCTCGCGCGCGCGCAATACACTAAGCACACCATTTGGACGGTCGTGATAGTATACCTCATATGGAAATCAGATCAGTGCCGTTCAAGTTCAGTTTAAACTCCTTGATTTCCCTCATTATGATTGATTTGACATCTACTATGTACTCTGGCATGCACTGCCGTCTCGGACAACTTTTGCTTGTTGTGAACCTTTCAGGTTCTATGAATATGTGTCCCATACATAGAACCCTGGGCCCCATCAGCAACCATTACCCGAGCCAGCCGCCACCACATTACTTTTGTCTTGGTCACTTTCACACATTATCGAGGCTATTTACATTTTCCTTCTATGACGTGGCACCATGGGGCGCACGGCCGTTGTAGTTGACACCTGCCGAGGCCGTGTAGTTGGCAAAGCAGTCGTAGTTGAAGTCGATCTCGTTGAGGCGCTGCTGGAGCACCTTGACCATGTTGTCAAAGGGGCATAGACCGTTGGGGTCGACAGGGCAACCCGGGTGCGAGTCGGAGACGGGAACGACGGCGTCGTTGCTGTTTATCACCCTCAAAGTCAGATGCCCATGTTTTCGCCCAGAAAAAAGTGGCAAAGGAAAATAATACTTACACGATGAATCGAATCTGTTTGGTAGGGGTCATGGCGGGGCACTCGAGCACTTGGGCAGTAAAGTGAGTGGCAAAGGGGACGAGCTTGCTAGCAACAAAGTTGTTCTGCCCCTGGTTGCCGCTGCCGCTCAAAGGAGGTCCCTTGAACAGCGCCGTAAGGTTGAAGGCAGTGAGGGTGTCGAGGACAACCACCTCGTGGGTCGCGTCGGCGTAGATAGATTGGTTCAAAGGGAAATCCGTCGGGTTGTTGTCGAATGTCTCGTTGAGAGCAGAGAGCGCGCCGGGATAGGTGTGGGTGAATCGAGCGACAAACTCAGCGAGGTAGCCCTTACCCTGAGCAGCAGCAACCGGAGAGCCGGGGCCGTTGTTGTAGTAGAACATCTGAGTGAAGGTTAGGCGACCCCTGCATCTACATTGGGCAGGGTGGAGCGAGCTTACCAAGTCATAGTAGTATTCGTAATTCTCAAAGTCCTCCAGGGTGAAAAGGGGGCAGAAGGCCGAATAGCCCAAAGCGTCAGTCTCGTACGAGCAGAGCTGAAGCATGGCGATAGCATCGGTGGGTGTCAGGGTCAGATTGCCTGAGACCTACAACCCCGACCATTAATACCATGTATGCTCGCAAAAGAGTGGGAAGCAACATTACCTGAGAGTTTAGACGGGCCAGGGTGGCATTGAAAGCGTTGTTGGCGAATTTGGTTGCGACAGTACTGCCGATGCTTCCTCGGCTGGCAATGTTGGAGTTGTTGCAGATCTCATAGGGGGCTCCCGAGTTGTTAACCCCTGGGGTTTCGACTAGGATCTCAATGTTGACCTGGTCTACATACTCGGGCACTCCAAAGAAACCAGCGGCAAAGTTCTCGGCGGTCTTGACCATGCGGTCCTGAGACTCGGTGCGGAAAACAGGGAGAGCTCCTTGAGCGGTGAAGTTGTTGAGCAATTCACCATACAACTGTCGGTATGACACTCCGAGGAGGAAGTTTTGGCTTCGTCCAAAAGGAGTCAAGAGTTCAGCACCCAGCTTGTAACTCCAGTCGGCCAGGAAAGCCAGCTCGCCGGAGACCTGGAACCCGGCTCCCTTGGTGGCATTGGCAAGTTTAGAAGCGAATGTCGCAGGGGCAGCACCGCCAGTAGGGTACCGAGCACCATGGCGATACAGGAGGTGGACTTGGTTGATGGAGCAGCCATCCGGGATGAGTGGGCTGGCTTTGGGCAAGCCGTAGTCGGCAGACGACAGTGAATACCAGGGCGACAGGTTACCCCAGAAGCGAGTGATGTCGACTTTGGAGCTCGAGTTGGATCCCTGAGGCTGAGCAGCAACCAGAGGGAAGGCGGCAGCCCCTTGAGTGTTGTACGGGTACAAAGGAGCGGTCTGGGCAGCAGCTGGCTCGAGACCTGTCACTGTTGGGCCGGGGAATTGCACCACTGACTCAGGCGGGAACTGAGAGGGGTCGACCGATGCTAGATAGGCGTCAGTTTCGACCTCTTCTTACGAGGCAATGATGAAGAGGGCTGGAGGGACATACTGGATGCTGGAGGGTAGACGTCAGACGTGGTAGCACCAACACCTGACGAGGCAACGACAGGTTGAGGGGCTGCCTCAATGGCCTTTGCCAGTACCGCCAACACAAGCGGAGTGACCTTCATCTTGTGACTGGTCAAGTAGCCTTGTCACGCTCGAAACAGGCAACTCAAGTCAGCAAGTCCGAGTCTCTTTCTTCTCGTCGGAATCCAGGGAAGAAGATGGCCTTGGAAACGCATATTTTCTGCATGTCCAAGTGGCTTCTTTATGTACTGCAAGACAAGCTCTGGCAAGCTCTGGCAAGCCCTGTCAAGCTCGATCTGGAAGGCAACACCAGGACGGCAAGCTTCCATCAAGCTCAGCAGTCAAATATAGCGCCATCCAACTACATTCAAGTATGTGAACATGTGCCTTTGTGCCCCGACATGCGAGTTGCCCAAAGTTCCCGCAAATCGTAACGCTCCAAGCGGTGATGCCGGTGGCTGGATCGATCCCAGTACGCGAGCCAGCACGTGGGTGGGGGGAGCCCATGTTCGCCGCCCTCGGCCATGTACAGACTCGGTATAGCCAGTAGGAGAAGGATTGCGAAGGTAACCTTGAGTCAGGAGCTGCACGGTTATGGCATCGATATTGTACCGAGCATGACATTAGTCTGTTGTGAGAGGTGATGCGTGCAGGGGATCGAGGACCTTGTTTGCGAGAAGATGCGTGATGGATGGGTGGACAAGCTCGATCTGGGAATAGCCGTCTAAGGATCCCGCAGTGCCGTCCAGGTGGTGCCAGGCACACGAAGCGCAGGTTCAGGTACGGAGGGTAGGAGGGTCATAAGGTGATCCTCTTTTTTTCATGCCCGAACCATTCAGGTTGCTTTGTTGAGGATCGTGGGATGAAGATGAGAGGCTGGTTCGATGCCGAGCAGATTTCGAGATAACAGGAGATGATCTTGGATCATATTCAATGCGTCCATCCATGGCGTGGTGAATCACTGGGCGTGTGCAGGTGGCTTTCCGTGGCGCAACGGCTGAGGCGCGATTAGACAGTTTCTGCCTGACCGCATAATCAGCACCCAAACAAACCCAAACGCTACAAAGAGCTTTTGTCAGACACAACAACTTTTACTATTCGTCTCCTCGCCTGCGATATCCAATTTTAGCCTCTTGGACGCGCCCTGCTGCGTGGCCATCTATCCAAGTTTCAAGTTTTTGTTTCCCACTCCAGCTTCAGTAACGCCCAACCAACCATCTCGACTTGTCATGCTAGCGAACCGCTCACTTCAAGGCTGTCGATCTGCTCAACAAGCGATGCGTGGTTCGCTGTCAATCGAGTCTCTCACTGGTATACATTCTGCGACAATGCGTCACCCTGCAGTTTTACCATGGTACCTCGCGCACCTCTGCTACTACCGGTCGACCTGTTTTCCTTGACATCGCATCGCTGAGTAACTTGATACAAGGACGTCTTATTAGGCAAGTATCCGTCGCGATAGAGAAACTTGTTCCTAAATGCTGTTTCTCCCTGTTGCTTTTGATTTTGATTCCTTTCCCCTACAATTTGGTTTGTGAAGTCGCCTGTCTACTTAGCCCAGGATCATAGCTCTTTACTCAAGAAAGTCCTTTCGCCCTTGACCACCTGCAATAATCTCTATCTTGTACTCAATCGACCATGTTCGAGTCCAGAAGGGGAGATGGGGAGCATCCTGCTCGACCATCACTCTCGACTATTCAGTCTGAGGTGGAGGAAGGACATCACGATACAGCATCAACGGCGCGAACAGAAACTAACCCACTCAAAACGAGAGGATCGACTTCCCTTGGGCGCAAAAACTCAAGCAAGCCCAGTGTCTTGACCCGCGCCGAAACGCTGTCTTCCAAACCAACTCTGACTCGTGTACCTTCTATCCAGACACGATACATGGAGATGCTGTTACACCTAGATCAAATTCCTCGGCTATACAATATCCTGGCCAGCCTGTTCACCTGGATTTTGCTCGCGGGCTTTCTCGTCGTCCCCGGTACCTTTACAACTTTCAAGAATTCCAAGGCGTTCCAAGATGCCGACAACGATGATGACGCTAACGAGGTTGCTCACGCAATTGTGCACTCGATTGCGCATATTGGTCTGCTGTGGCTATCTGGTTCGTTCTGTGTCGTTGGGACTCTGGGATGCCTCTGGCTGTGGCTTCGTTGGCGCAAGAACTATGTCTGGCTGATAAACCGCATCTTTCTGTGAGATCTTCACTCGCGTTCACAGGGACATACTGACGGGTTGATGATAGACCAGTCACGCTGAACTCCGTCGCCGGCTTGATCACAACTCTCGTCAACGTCTATACTGCCCAGCATGGTGTATGGAGTGTGACGGCGAAAATCACTGCTATCGTGACAGGATCCTGCGTTGGGGTGGCAGGGATTCTTTTCGGGTTCTATAACTTTTGGATATTACGCAGGATACAACAGGCACACGCAAGAGAAACGGGCCTCAATGCTCAGCACGAGGACGAGACCCTGGTGGAGAAGGTGAAAAGGAAGGCTCATGAGCCTCCGTTGCAGTCCGGCAGTGTGGTTTGATATTGAAATGTTCCTCTGGGTTCAACGGTGTCTTTCCACTTGTACCCTTCCACTAATGCCCTTTGCGACTGCCTCCAAATGTACACAAATTTCATGTTTTTGCACTTGCCATGAATGACAAGGGCTGAACAGTCCCTCTACCCTTTTGTTATTATTCTCGCTTCGCATTTGACTGACTTACCATACTTACCATTCCTCATTTCCTCGATTACCTTTTCCCAGCTCATACGCCTTCCTAAGACCTATTGCATAGAATATTCTTATTACTGCGCACACTGTACCTATGGCTACTCAACTTTCCTCTTCGACGAGTTCAACCTACCGAAGAACTGCACGTCGAGATCGTCGAATCAGACACCGGGCACGCTTTCCTAAGCCGAATCCGCCACAGTTGAAGACATCCCGTCGACGGGGTCCAAAAAGAAGAAAGCTGCGTGAACAGGACTCCTTGGATCTTGACAACTGCTACTATGCTTGTGAGGACCGAGGATACCATCTCGATCCCGATGTTCGTGTCGGTCTTGAAATCAACCATGATGGTATGATTGATATGTTCGCGATCCTGACGCTGTGCTGACTCTTATTTCTAGAAACCCCATATTGGTTTTCCGACGACAGCATCACCGATCGAAGCATAGCCGCAGAAGAACCATGCCCATTACTCGACTTCTCTGCCGTGGGCGCATTAGCAAGACCTTCACCTACGATATCTTCCGAGACAGGAGGCGGAAAAGTCATCTTCAAGAGAAAAGGAACGCGAAGCCTCTCTGAAGCAGACCTCACTGAAAATCCCTCACCTCCACTACCTCCCATTCTCATGACCGCAAAGGCACGCACAAGCATCCAGCTCCCCAGTTGCCATTTAGAGCCTTCAAGGAATCGATGTCCGCCAGAATACCACTCAGACTACCTCAATGATGTCAGGATTCCAAGTCCATTGCTATACCACAGCTCACAATTCGAATACACTACTCCCTCTGACAATCCTTGGTTGACCTGGAACGTCCCCTCCTTCGAGTTCGCCCATGGCCAGCAAAAGCCAGAACCTGACTTTACCAGCTACCGGCCCGTCGTGTGTGGTGCTGCTCTGGACGAGCGTACACATATGCAACGTAATGAAAGCTTGGGGTTTGCTGTTTGCACGGCTGCATCCTCCCGGCACAAAGCAGAAGCAAGTCACGTCTCGGACGGCAGCCATGATTCTTCGACTCATGGCGATGTTCTTTCCTCAGGCGATGACCTTGACTCCCAAGAATTGACGCGGACCAACCAAGAATATTCACTCGTCGCGGACGTCGACAGAAATGGTCTCGTCACTCCCATGGGCCTTGACTTTCCATGGTATCATGATTTTTTCATGCCAAAGGTCTCGTATAGCCAAGAAATAGCTGTGCCACCCGATGTCGCACCATCTGAGGACAATTTAATCTTTCCCACACTGCCAACTCCGATCAACCTTGACCACGCGTTGATTGCTTGTTGCAGCGTCAACAACATTGTTCACCCAGGCGGAAATCAAGCTGCCAGAAGTTGGGAGCGAGCAGGCAGAGGGTTGCCATCATTTCGAGATCCAGTTGACACCACTCCGTCCCCGTCTATGTCGGACGCGGTAGAGGCAGCTGTCCGTGGAGCTTGCAGTGCCAGCGAACCGCAGACCACTCGAGGATCCTTAGATAGTAGAGATGATACAATCACCTCGGACGGGCCCTATCCTGGCGCTGCAATCAAGGTTGTCATTCCACCATGCATGGACCTGGTTCCGGCACGACTGTACCGGCACCAACTCATTGCGTGGCCACTGTCAACTGCAGCTGTGGAGGCGAGAAACAGACGCGACAGTGACGTATCGGCTGTTCTCAGAATGGCAGAATGGTTGGCAGGATTGAATACGCTGAGACCCTATGTGGGTGGCCAGTTGGGTCTACCTCTTCCCAAGCCACCAGGCAATGACGCCGGTCTCAATTCTAGGAGAAATATGTCGACGTTCAACGATACTCTGAGTTCAGTACTTTCTGCCCGGGTTGAGTGCCACGGAGAGCCTGCAGAGGATGAAGCTGATTCGGGCTCACCCGATGAAGGGTACTTCACCTGTAGCGAACGCTATTCGGAGGCCGACTTGCTGGAAGACACACCTACCGATGAGGAATGGGTCGATTGGGAATGGGATTTTCAGTCAGATGATGTGGATGAGAGGATTGGACTATTTGCCTCTGAATGGGAGGGAGCGACTAAGGCAGATACGATGTAACCCGTGGGCTACGACTGAGCAATGTGATGCCTGCAGATTGTGAAGTATTACGGATACGGATAGGCGTGACGGCCAAGGACAAGATGACGAGGTGACGGTTAGATTGCATGTTCTGGATCTGGTGGTGGCCGTAGACCTGTAGAATGCAGTCAGCAATTCTTGAAAGAGCAGATAACACGCCCTCATCGGAATGAAGACTTCTGTCAACACCCAGTTGTTAGCGGAGGAGATTCGTTCCTTTCGAATTGACATGCCTCGCGATTGTACAAAGACAGAGGAGTGTAGGGACTCGGTCTGTGCTAGGTTTCCAGGAGAGGAATGCAGGATTCCTATCCCGCTAGGTGGACAGGGTCTGATTGATCTTAAGTCGCCATCGCCACACTTGCAAGTAGTATGTACGTTCTACATACCTTAGCTATCTACCTCCATACGATAGGCACGTATAGGCAAGTACATAGGTAGTATTCAAGGCGACTCGACCCCACCATTTTTGTCTCCATCCTCGCCCTCGCCATCCTTCCTTCCTACTTGTTCCTCGCCACTTCCAGCCCCCCCCCCCCCCCCCCCCCCCCCCCCCCCCAAAACGACATGTCTGTTTTTCTATTCGTTGCTGCGAAACAACAACCCCAGATAGATGGCGGCGTACATGGCCCACTCGACTAGCACGCCCATGTCGGCTTTCATGCGCGAGGTGCGCTGGGCGCGGGCGCGGACGGCGTGCACGTGCGGCATGCGGCTGGTTTCGAAGGCGCGCAGGGCGGTTGCGAGAGAGGTCGAAGGAGAGCCAGAAGGAGAAAGGGAAACTGGAGGAGAAGGACAGCGAGAAGGAGAGGAGGTGGTAGTGGTAGTGGTAGAATCGCCCAGATAATACTCCCGCAATGACAGCGCCAGCGCCTCGGCGTCCTCGAGCGCCTGGCTCGCCCCTTGCCCGCTCGACGGCTGCAGCGCGTGCGCGGCGTCGCCGACCAGCACCGCCCGGCCGCGCAGAGACCAGTACGGCAGCTCGGGCGTCGTCCATGTCGGATATGCTGCGTCCAGAGCCTTTCCGGTCAGGAAGCCATTGTGATTGTGATTGTGGTTGTTTTGGATTTGGTGCTCGGCATCCCGATCTCGAATGTGACCTTGATCTGGTTGTTGTTGAAGCTGCTGTTCCGTGTCGTGTTGCACAAACGACAAAATCGCCTGGATGGCCGGGTTGTGCCAGGTCCTGTGTCGGTCGAGGAGCGCGGTCAGCGCGAGTTGCTTGTTGAAGTCGGTGGCTTTGCGGGTCGTCCTTGGCTCGATATCCTTGTCGGTGTCTGCGCTCGTGCCTGTGCTTGTGCTCGTATATGTGTCCGGAATATTTCCTGCAGACGATGTTGGGATTCTGGGCGAAGGAGTCGAGTAGGGAAATGGGTCTGGGCTGGAACATGTGGACCACCACCCTGCCAGTGGTCCTGGGGCAGGGATTGGCAAGTTGAGATCTATCGCTTGAGGAGGGGTCTCTGTATCTGTCCCTTCGTTTGACAACGAGGTCGGTGATGGCGACAGTAATGTGGATGAGGAGGTCAAGTAGCCGTACCCAAAGAACCCGTTCGGCCCAAACACCACGGTCATGCTGCCGGGCTTGTGGCCGGAGGCTTGCAGCACAGATGAAGGCACAAAGCCCCCAACGCCGACTAGACCCTCATAGTGCGGTGAAATGTAGTCAGTATCGGTGTCTTTTTGGTTTGCATGGCCTCCAAAGTTGAAGAACGGGATGCGGATGTAAGAGAGAATCGTTCGGAGCCAACCTGCTCTGCTCTGGCCGTTCGGCTCCCGCTCACGAGCATTCAACGCTCCATCGGTTGCCGTCGCATGAACACCCTCACCCTCGTCCTTGCGAAACATTGCCCGTCGCACAACACTTCTGAGCCCGTCAGCTCCAATGACCAGGTCGGCTTCTTCCTCGGAGCCGTCCTCGAACTTGACGATGTTGGGTGCTTGTTCATGGCCGATGATCACGTCGACGACTTTCTTGCGGATGATCACGTCGGGAGCTACCCTCAAGACGCGGTCGCGGAGGATTTCCCAGCACGATTGCCGTGCGATCATGATTCCGTGGTAGGGACACGAATTTCGACCTGCAGTGCCCGCAGCTCTTGACTGCTTGTGGTCATCGAGAGACGATCGCGCGGCGGTATTTCCTGGCCGTGCGAGCTCGACCACGCCGAGTCTGAAGCCTCGTGCCGTGCTGAGTTCCCACCGCTCGATCGGATGCCCTTGTACGGCCATTTCATCAATCAAGCTGCAGGAGGGCTGATCCTGAATGTTCGCCTGCTGGTCCTCTGTTTCGTCCAGGCGAGCAAGAACGTCTAGTCCGTTACGCGCGATGCCGATTGCGGCTCCGATCGCTTGCGGAGTGAAGATTGGATCTACCCCGTTTGCTGAGAGTGCATTCGTGGTGGACTCGTCGTCCGAGTTGTAGCTTGCGGCAGCATTCGCCAAAGAGACATTGAAGTGGGACTGGTGAATGTCGTGAGCTTCATAGATCTTGATCTCATATTCTTGTCGTTCTTCTGCTCGGGCAGCAGGACTGAGATTGTAGAGCACCAGGTGTTTGCGCAGAAACAGGTATGTACTCAGGCCCGAGATGCCAGCGCCGATGATGATGATCTTAGCCATGGCGGGAAGAGAGACTCATGCGAGTAGAAAAGCCATAAAGAATGAAGGAAACCTGACAAGTCCATCAATGGCGAGGCAAGGTGATCAAGAGAACAAGGAGCCCATTATATAGACATCTTGATCCTGCTGCGGTTTGCGTCGTGGGACAGGGATATTGGCAGCGGCCGGTGCTCGCGTCACCAGGGAAGTCATAGTTCGTTTGCTATATCTCACTCTGTATAGTGCATGGTACCCAGATGTGGTAATTAAACCTCTAGCAGCCAGCCGTGGGCAGGTATTGAGGAGGAGAGCCCAATGGAAAATGTTGGTGCCTGCGCTTGATGTGAGGCGCACGCTGTGATTGGTGAGTGGCTGAGGGACGACCGAAGCAATACGTCGGATTCGGAGAATTTATGACAACTAGAGAGAGAGCAAGGGAATAACCACCTTCTTTGGTCACCCACATTCAGAACCTAGCCTCAGGCAAGTGCTCGTTGGGATAGACGACACGTATCCAGCATGTGTCCATCAGCGGTGGCCTTCTGGTGGAGGTACGCCATCTTCCGGCCCTGTCCCTGGTATCCGTTTTGACAGTTGCTCATCCGCTGGACCATCATCGCTACTGTCTTTGCGCAGTCCAAGCTTCCCCAAAGCGCTGGAGAGTCTTCCCGTAAAGCTACGCTTGGCCTTGCGACGTTCGCGCGCTTCCCGTTCCTGAGCCTTGCGTTGCCGCTCCAGGTACAGCCTCTCCTTCTCCGCGCTCTGAGACTTGTCCCGCTTCGCCTCTTCTTCCATCTTGACTTTCTCTGGATTGAGCAACTTATCCTTCTCATGCACGACGCTCTCGCTGACTGCCTTGATGCGTTTGCGAGTTTTGGTGTAACTCTCTAGACCGACCAAGACTGCATAGCTGCGGGAGATGGATACATGCGACATGTCGACACCTTCATCTCGGAGGCTGTGCACAAAGGCTCGAAAATTCGCCGCCGGTGGCCGATAATGCCCGCTCAAGGGCGACAGCCGTCTCAATTGCCCATGTTTGACTTTGATCAACCCTGCCGCCAGGATACGTGCACCGTGTAAGAATGATGAATGCTGGAACGCCCCTGACTGCTTGTACCCAATGTACAGTCGAAACGAAGTATCGCAGACGAATATCCACTTATGTCCTTTCTTCAGGCTTGTTCTGATCATGTGGTTGAACAACACTGCCGCACTGACATGCTTGACCTTGGACAACCCTCTGGCTCGATGGAACTGGTCTCTGATCAGCAACGGTTAGGAGTCAAAGTGATTGAAGGAGACACATACTTCCTCGTTGACGTATCTTTCCCCTTCATCACCCGCCGTATTTTCGTCTTCATCCTCTGATTCATCCGAAGAGCTGCTCTCGGAGTCACTCGTACCTGGCGGTGGCACGTTATACCTCCATTTCGGCGCCGAGTCATCTATGGGGACGATCCCATTGACGCTGTCTTTGAAAAGTTCATCCTTGGTCCAAACAAGTTCACCATTCTTGGCCCAGACAAGCAACCCTTTTTCATTGACCTTGACGAGATAATTCAGACGTTCTTCGCGTGACAGATATCGCACTTGCTCCTTGTCAAGCCGTGCCCGGCTACACTCTGGGAGGTCCACATTCTTGCCATCGCCTTGGTCGAGCCAGTAAAAGAAGTTTTGATCGGTGTCCTGTGTCTTCCAATATGCATGATATCTGAGAATGCAGTGTGAGCTTGTGGTAAAGTGATCCAACAGTCTGGGTATAAGAGGCACTCACTTTCGCAGATTACTCCCATAACGATGTTTTTGGTCGACCATCTCAAGGAAATATTGTAAATCCATCATCTTGGCAGTCTTCTTCCTCATGGCATTGGCCTCGGCTCGTTTCCTTCTGGCCGCTTCCCTCTCTTCTTGGGTCATATCGGCGAGTGAGCCCACGGTGCTTGGAGTATCTTCATCGGAGAAGTCAGAGACGGAGGGGGAACGATCGTCGGCGCCAGCCCTGCGAGCAACCTCGGCGGCTCGACTCCATTTTAACATCGCGGGAGATGTGGTGCCCTGGGCCGTGTCTGTGTCATGGAGAGAAGAGGACGGCGGTTGCGGGGACGTGTGTGCTTTGAATTGGGCGTCTCGCACCGCCTGTCAAGTTTGTCTCGGTCAGGGCTGCAGCACGACTAACGGGTCGTGACTAACCTCATACCACCGCGTAGAGGCATCCAAGCCAAACCCATTAAGTTGGCGACGCGCACGGTGACCTCTGTAGGTTTTCTGGGGCGCGGGTCAACCATTGGCAGTTCGAGAGGGGAGATGGCGAGAGAGTTCCGACCTGAATTAGGACTGCCGCCTTCTTACTCTCCTCTGCACTGAGATCTGTCTTGGACGGCTCAGAGGGTTCCTCGGAGGCTTTTACTGGCTCGGCCTCCATGAGATAGAATTTGCATGTCAAAGCATTGGGCTGTTCGTGAATTATCACAGTTCGACGCTGTTCGGAGAATCACCGTTTCGCAGACGATGGCAGTACGTCAGCGTAAGGCTGAAACTGGAGGTGGCGAGGCTGTCTATGAACAAGCCAACAACCCCCACCCTGGGGTCGATGGCGGACATCTCGCAATCTTCGTCACTCTTTCGTGCAAGGGAAAGATCAATCAATTGCTCTATCCTGTCCAGTTACCTTTTTCTTGGTTCATCATTAGAGCACAGAGCCCTACCGTGCCCAAATCCACGGGTACACTCACAGATGTCGCGCGGCAAAGTGAGAGTAGTAAACACTGCTGGGTACGAGACATTCAGGCCGCGGCTTCGCGTCTGTGGCAGCTGCTTCATGCCTGATGCCTTAGTCTATTTACTAGGTACAGCGGAGAGAGCCACCCTTGGACTGCCCACCCCCGGACTACCCGCATTCGGGCCACCGGAAGACAGCAGAGGTGTGGCGGCAACTGAAGGCCGATAAAGGGGGTGGGGAGCACGTTGGGGTAAAGAAGGCACTGTCCAATGCGCACGTTTGCCGTTAGCAGGATAGCTGAGGGCAACGTCCATTGTTCAATTGCCATCCGTGAAAAGAATCCCTGTGTATGCCCACGTGCATCTTTGGGGTTTTCCAACCCAGCCTGTTTTTGGGAAGCAGGGTTGGAGGCCAGTCTCTAACGTCTCGATCCTGGAATCCCACTGCACTGCGATACGAGTCCCTAAGACGTGACCTTTTTCCCAGCCTGACAAATCCAAAAGCCGACTTCTTGGAGGAGGGTCCATATCGCTTGCCCATTGACTTTTAGGATACGCGATGGCGAGTAGTGTTTTGTCTTACCTGCTTTGGTTCGCAGAGATCCGGATCCGAGACTTTCGGACCCGAAAGCAGCTCGAACACTTAGCTTTAGTCATCTCTTGTACGAGGCAGTTTCCTTGCTGTACCATTCACATCATCGACTTCGACACCTCACGCATGCATGCCAGGCAGTATGAGGGCTACTCTCAGGGTTCAGGTTGGAGGTCAAGCACCAGTACATGTCGACACTTGGTTGAGCTGAAAGGTGGACAACCGTTGTGGTAAGGCTTCGCGGGGGTTTTCAACTATCGGGGCACAGGTAGGATCGTCGCTGGAGCATGGTTATGCCGGTCTTAAACGTTACGCAGGGGATCGACGAGAAGTGTGATTTTGAAAGTGGTAAGGGCAGTCAGGCGGTTGGGCATTAAATACAGATATCGGCTCTTTCAACCATGTGTTGTTGAGAGTATCCCACAAGCAGGTAGGAGAAGGTAGGAAGTTCCTCAACAGTGGCAGGGGATAACATCCCGTAGGGGGGAAATTCGTAAGGTGAGGGAAAGACACGGGTTCATTATTGTTTAGAGTTGGAGATCAGCAATTGTTACTCGCAGAGGTACACAGGGACTACATGGGAGTACAAGTACTTGGTACATGGTCTATGATCCTTGCCGCCACTGCCACCACTGCCACCCTCAATATGGCAAGAGAGTTCCCACTCGGTTATTGGAGATGAGGTGCAAGTGAAGTTTGCTCGTAGGTGAAGTGAAGGCAGTGAAGCAGTGAAGTGGAGTTGACTCGAATGGAGCGAGTCAAAGCACAGGCAACAGGCTGCGGAGGTCGGAGAATGATGACCGACGTAATGCAGTCAGACTCAGGATTCTTTCTTTTTAGGGACGTGAGGGATCAAGGGCATTAACTGGCTGGTGCTGGGGATTCACGAGTCAGACACACCTGACTCCTTCAAAGCTGCCCGCTCCAGCCGTCAAGTACATACCTACTCATACACACTCAGGTAAGAAGGCACCTTGCCCTTTCTTGGCGGAAGGTGCCACTGGTGCCACTGGTGCCACTCGCTCCCCGCCTCTTTCTCTCTCCTCATTGCTCAACTCTCGTCTACAAACTTGTCTGACTATCTTTTACTCGCATAATCTCCTGCGCTCGCCACCCAGTCAACCAAATCCCACTCACCTGACTTGATTCTTCTTGGTATCTCCGTAATACCCCCATCCCCCATGGGATTCGTTTCCCACCCCGCCAGCTCAGTGGTACAATCGTGTCAGCCCAGCCCCATCTGTCAAACCTTCGAGAGAGCTAACTCCGTCGCAGTCTCGAGAACTGTTCTCGGGACTGATGCTGCACGCTAGTGTATCTCGGAGAGCCGCCCTCCTTCACGTCCTTGCCTTCTCTCTTCTTCTTTCCCTTGACCTCGTGCTCGGCCCCCAGAGGACAACATAGCCTGTGTCTCCACAAACTCTCCAACCACCACAGAAAAAATTTTCTATCAGACGACCTGACTGGCTCTGGCAGTCCTTCCAAGGCCTCCCCCATGGACCATTGCCGTCTTCACAGTAGCTCGAATAGCCGAGCATGCATATTCCACCGGCACAAGTCCACCCTAACTCTGTATAACTGTTTGAAACGGTTCCGGCCAGGATAAATCGGCACGGATGAAGATCGGACCTCTCTCATTTAACGGAACATTACCTAGCTTTGCTTTTGTTCACGCTACCTGGAAGCTTCCAACCCAGTTCGTCTGAGCTGGACGCCCTTGCCAGTGGGGAAGTTCCTCCTCTCCTCTCCACGTGTGGCTTAGTGAAAAGGTGTGCTCGACAGTCTGGAACTCCTAGCCCAGGGAATGAACTCCACGGGAATTCTTGTCACCAGTGGCAGTCTCCAGCCGCGGCTCGTCAAAGCCACCTCCAGAACACAAGAGCGAACGCGAAGAGGGCTTGGTACGTGGCCAAGTCTACCACTGACCTCCAGGCCTTCGACCGGGGGTGCTCGAGATCGCTTGCTGGTCCAATCGCTGATCGCCAACCAGCTTCCACCCAGCCGGGGTAGTCCGGGGTAGGGATGAGCAAAAAATGGCTTTGAGAGTTCAATTGACTCAGTTTGTTTTGCCCCGTTATTGGAGCCCAGGCTGGTGGACCTAGGGTCATCTTGGTTCCGTTTAGGTTTTCCCCATATCAGTTTCCAGGGACCCTCGTTTGTACCAAGTACCTGGGGTGCCCCTCGCTGTTTTTTCTCTCTCTACCACCTGTTCTCTTCCCTTCTCTGTTCTCACTTGCAAAAACCCCTCAAGTGCTCTTGAAAACACCCTCATCCCTTCCCCCATTCCACACGCCTCTGTACTCACTTGTGAAACCTCACCTCGACCGCCAATAGACTCACCATGGCGACCACCACCCATACCCAACCCAAGAGGAAGTCTTCCACCGCTGGACTGGCAACTGGAGGGAGGACCGTCAAGCGAAGGGCTTCCAAAGCCTGCCACTGTTGTCGTGGGAGAAAAGTACGTTGTGATGTGGTCGAGAGTGGAATTCCGTGCACGAACTGCCGACTCGACGAGGTTGAGTGCGTGGTCACTGAAGGAAAACGTCGGAGGAAATCCTATGCCGACGGAGAGCTCTTTCACCAGTCTCCCTGCAATTCGATAGAAGAGGAGAAGGAAATTCCACAATTTCCCATCTTTGACGACATCGATGAGCTGAACAACTTTGTCCCGACTTTGCCCAAGTCCGAGCCAACCCATCCCCAGCTAGCCCTGGACGATGAGATGGTCCATCACAAACCCCATATGCTTTGTAAGTCTCCTCCTTCCTCTAAGCTTGGTTTCCGATGCTGATGGAGCATCTGTCTAGACCAGACACAGGGTCGCCGCTTGAGCCAGGATGATCGTTTCCGACGAATGTCGACAGTCGGCACCAACCACCTTTCTCCGCCCCTCCTCTCCCCAGCAATGTCCTATTTCCTCCAGCAAACGAACCGGGTGAATATTGTCCTACCCCCCTATTTGCAACCCATATCTCCCCGGATCATGAGCGAAGATTTGGAGTATCTGCAGAAGAAGGGAGCGTTTTTGATCCCCGAGACAGGCTTCCGCAACGAGCTGCTCCGCTGCTACGTCCAATACGTGCATCCCTTCCTCCCCATCGTCGACTTGCAGGACTTTTTGACCGCCATCGAAAGGAACCAGCCCACCAACACCGTGAGCCTCTTGCTCTTCCAGGCCATCATGTTTGCCGCAACCGCATACATTGACATGCGCTATCTTATAGCCCAGGGTTACATGACCCGGAAAGCTGCCAGGAAATCCTTCTTCCAGCGAGTCAAGCTCCTGTACGATTTTGATTACGAAGTCGATCGAGTCACGGTTGTGCAGGCTGTCTTGCTGATGACCTACTGGTACGAGAATCCCGATGACCCAAAGGATGTGTGGCACTGGCTGGGTGTGGCCATCTCGGTGGCTCGAACCATCGGCCTTAATTGTGATACGTCGAATGCTTCGCTCATGACCTTGCAACAACGCCGCCTCTGGAAGCGCATCTGGTGGTCCTGCTACATGCGGGATCGATTGATCGCCATCGGGATGCGGCGGCCGATGCGCATAGGCACCGGGGATTTCGACGTGCCAATGCTCGAGGTTTCGGATTTTGAGACCGAGCCCTTGCCAGCCGATCTCAGTAGAATGCTCGGAGGCTGCCCTGCCGTGAGAGACACTGCGAAGCGCGTTACACTGGCCAAAATGTGTATCGGCCTTGCCGATCTCTGTATCCGCATCACCCAAGTTCTCGCGGTCCAATACTCTACTCTGGGGCACAAGATTGGGGCAACTCAAGAGACTACAATGAGACTGGTTCCGAAGAAGTCAGCAGCAGACCCATGCGATGTAATCCGGTGTGATCGCGCACTCGACCAGTGGCACAAAGACCTTCCGCATGAGCTCCATTACTTTGCTCCGGATTCGCGCGAGCGGACAAGCACTAATGATGGCGAGGTCATTAACCTCCATCGAGCTCTGCTGACTGGAATCTACCTCACCGCCATCAGTGCATTGCATCGGCCACAAATACTCCCTTCGGCTCCAAATGTTGTGGTTGCCCCGGAGCTCCGAGAATTGTCGAGGAGGAAGGTTCGCGAGGCCGCCAACGATATTACCGAGATGTACAAAGAACTCTTTGCGCATGATTTGATACGGTACCTCCCCAACACTGGGGTAACATGCCTGCTTCCTGCCATTATCATCCACCTCCTGGATATCAAATCCAGCGACTCCAATACCCGGCAAGCGAGCATTCGGAGATTCCAATTTTGCATGCAGGCCTTACAAAGACTGCGTGAGATGTATGCTTCTGCGGATTTCGCCTTTTCCTTCCTCGATGCAGCAGTGCGTAAGACCAATGCTCAGGTCTATGCTGCTGCTGGGGCCACACCTGGGATGAAGTCGCCCTTCTCGACCAGCTCGACTGGAATGGACCAGAAGAAGTTTCTCCCAGGACCGCTGTTGCTCACGCCGCCTCCTGAGGCTATGCACACGGCGAGCTTGCTACTCATGAACTCGACGCTAGCTCCGGAGGAGCGAAATCTCATTGCTGCGTACACACCACCAGAGTCGGATATGAGCTTGAACCCCCATCAGACCGCGGACGAAGCACTGACCAAATCGGCGGACATGACAATCGAACAGAACCTAGGGTTTAACTGTACCATGGATGAGGATCCGACACACGCTGGTTTTGAGACACTTGTCGATTTGGAAGGAGGCACCGATTTGTTTTCCACTGTCGAAGATGGCCTGGATTTGAATATGCAGTGGCTTCAGGGATTCGATGCAGATAATCACACTCCTAACTCTGGAGAGTTCGCCTTGGAGACGATTGAAGAGGTAGACGAGCAGCGGAACCAATGCGGTTATGCAGAACAGCCACTGGACGCCACCGATGAGCTTGTACTTGGTTTGGCCATTCAGGGTGAGGCTTGAGATTTTGCGATGCGTATGGAATGGTATATATAAAACATGACATTTTTGTGTCTTTTTGAATCAGTACAACAGGATGATTTGAGGACAGAACGAGCCTGGATATTGCTTCACCGTTACCAGAGCTTAGGTAGATGTTGAGGTGGCATGCAGATCATTGGTTTGTTTAGAAGCGAATCAAGTGACGAAGTCTGCCTGCGGCTAATTTTCCTTTCCATTCTCTTTATTTCTTCGTCGTGCCTCGCAATCTCCTCAACACAAATCGTCTTATTTCGTCTTTCATATCAATCGTCCATCTCATGTCCTCTTGTACTCTCTGCTTGGAGAAGTATTGAATAGCCATTAGGGCCTCCAATACCCCACCTCAAGCACAGAAGATTCCGCCCCCGCCAGTTGATCGGCGGTGGCCCGTTCAACCTCTACCCTGCAATGTCACATTGAAAAAACATGACCAGTGGCAACGAGATAAGGGAGCTCGCCTTGCCAAAAAAAAAAACCCCCCCCCCTTTGAACTCGGCCTCCTCCGCAGTCAGCCGACCCATTTGACGAGGACATCCTCCAATCACACCAAAATGACATGAAAGCCTTCTACCTGGATGGGCAGTGTTTGCACGCAACTGGTCTACCTAGGGACCTGGCATCCTGGCCCTCCTCCATTCTCCGTCACTATCCGCGGTGTCCAGCGCCAAGTCACAGAAGCTTCGAAGCTTTCGAAGCTCCGCCACGCAATGCTTGTTCATTGCTGTTTGCACTGTCACACAAGGTGTTTACCGCGCCCGCATTCTTGGGCAAGCGATGGTTAAAAGATGTTTTACAGGGTAACACGCCGTTTCGCAGCTCCGGAGGGTCTTCCAATGATTTCTGGAAGCTCGGTGCACAAGTAGCGAAAGCCCAGAGGGATCGTGTGATTGGAGGTCGGTTGTCTCGAAGCTTTGGCGAGGAATATTGTCTGCATAAACCGTACTGGCTGTTCCCTGTCGTGCCTGGCCACATTGGCCAAGTCACAGGCTGAGGATCTACCACCATCCTGATGCAGAATTCCCCGAGCGGTGCAATCTTATCTCAACCTAGCCCCATTGACTGGCAGAAGCTGTCATTCATGCATTTGCCGTAACATCCACTTGGGCACCTGCCTCATGTGGACCGGATCGCATATGGAAATGGACGCTCTCCCGTGGGATCAAGTCCTTTGACTGGACCGCTGCAGCTCGAGCTTCTCTACCCGGCGTCAGACCCCGTTTGTTCAGGGTCACTATAGCTAGGACCCCTGTCTCAATACTACTTCTTGTCATGCTTAACGTCATCGAATTATGGCCAATGCGTTCCTGGTGACTGAGCTGCAGCAAATCGCCTTCGACGAGATCACACCTCGGGCGATTAACCAGCCATCTCTCACAGTCAGGTTGGAGCTAGTGAAGTCACTAGAATGATTGCTACTCTTTGTGAGCGTGGAGTCCGTGCAGATAGCAGTCAGATCGTGATCAGAGGTAGGTAAAGTGGTAAATCATCTGCTACTTAATGTTGTCGCGCGACCCCATTCCTCTCTCCCTTCCTCACGCAGCTGTCCGTGTCTGCTAGGTGGTGGTTGCTAAGTCACACAACAGCTGCTCGGTTTGAGGCCAAACTAAAGGGCAACCTTCAACTGATCTTCCTTCCTCACGTTCGTGTCATTCTTTTACCTCTAGCGATTTGAATAGCTATCGTGATGCACGGTGCAAAACTCTTCCTCGTTGGCGCTCTTGCCGCTGGTGTCTCGGCCGTCAAAGGACCTACCGTGCATAACAGAAGGGTTCCTGGGCCAAAGCTGCAGGTCTTACCTCGACAATTACCAGCGGAGCCCACTGGAGTTAAGACAATTGTCACCCCGAATGGCATCAACATCACCTATAAGGAACCTGGCAAAGAAGGCGTCTGTGAGACGACCCCGGGCGTCAATTCATACGCAGGTTTCGTCAACCTTGCTCCCGATGTTCACAGCTTCTTCTGGTTCTTTGAGTCGAGGAACGACCCTGCCAATGACCCAATTACACTATGGCTCAACGGAGGTCCTGGAAGTGACTCTTTGATCGGAATGTTCCAAGGTGAGGGTGTTTTGGAAATCCAATCAGCCCCGGGCCTATAGCTGACCACGTATTATAGAGCTCGGGCCGTGCAATGTCACTGAGAATCTGACCACGCACCTCAATCCCTACGCATGGAACGAGGCCTCGAACATGATCTTTCTCAGCCAGCCATTGGGTGTGGGTTTTTCATATGGCTCCAAGGTGAGGGCTCTGGGGGAATGTCACCACAAGAGATGGCACTGATGTCGATATAGGGCCCCGGCTCGCTGGATCCTAATTTCGGACAATTCGTTCCTCCGTCAGAGGCAAATGTCACGGGCCGATACCCAATAATCAACGCGACTGAGATTGGTGAGTAGGACATGGCTTGTTACAAACCCATATACTCACGACTGTGGTGTAGATACCACTGATCTTGCCGCGATCGCTGCATGGGAGGTGCTTCAAGGATTCTACGCAGCACTACCGCAGCTTGATTCTAAAGTCCAATCAACCAAATTCAACCTGTGGACCGAATCTTATGGAGGTGAGATATATCGACATCCATCTCAGTTACGAAACTGACCATACTGTAGGACATTATGGTCCTGCCTTCTTCAACTACTTTTATCACCAAAACGAAGCGATCCTTAACGGTACTCAAACCGGCAAATCCTTCGAGTTTGTGAACCTGGGAATCATGAATGGCATCATAGACGAATACGTTCAAGCGCCCTATTACCCGATCTTTGCCAACAACAATACTTATGGCATCAAGGCTGTGAACGATACTGTCTATGACTATATGACGTTCGCCTGTTATATGAATGACGGATGCCTGGACCAGATCTCTTTCTGCGCCGAAGCCGACACGAGCACTCTCACAGGCCAAGCTGCCTGCAGCGAAGCCGAGGCCATGTGCCGGGATAGTGTCGAGTCACCTTACTACTACTACGGGGGCCGCGGAGTCTACGATATCCGTCACCCATACGACGACCCTACCCCACCCACCTACTTCATTGACTACCTCAACTTGGCCACGACACAACAAGCTCTAGGTGTCGACACAAACTACACGTCAGATGCCAACGATGAAGTGTACTACGCCTTCCAGCAGACGGGCGATTTCATCTACTTCAACTTCATTGACGATCTGGAAGAGATCCTTAATTCGTCCTCGGTGCGCGTGACGCTTGTGTATGGGGACGCGGACTACATTTGCAATTGGTTTGGCGGAGAAGCAGTGTCTCTAGCCGCCAAATGGCCTCACGCTGCTCAATTCAAAGCGGCGGGATATACGCCGTTCGTGGTGGATGGAGTCGAGTACGGCGAGACGCGCGAGTATGGCAATTTCTCTTTCACTCGCATTTATGAGTCGGGCCATGAGGTACCCTACTACCAGCCGATTGCTGCCTTGGGCTTCTTCACGCGCGCGATCAATGGCTTGGACATGGCGACGGGTACGATGCACGTGAACGGAACACAAGGGGGAACCAAGGGCAGCGCACAGGCCACTCATACCGAGAGCTTTGTGCCATTGCCAACCAGCTCGTCGAGCTCTGCAGCCTCGGCGGCGGCGTCGTCGGTGCCCAAAGGTCCAGTGATCCCAGGGCGATTTGCGAGACGGGGATATTAATATGAGGAATGACGATGAATGTGTGTAACGGAGCTACGATAGGTCAATGAGAATTCGGTGTCATCGACCCGGATGAGCTTCGTTCGGCTTTCGGCCTGAGGGGACGTGTCCACCGCCACCTGTGTATTCGATGAATAATGAAAAAACTTCGACATCAAAAGTCTAGACGAACGTGGTCGTACCCTGGAGATTTGATACAACCCAGTACGGCCAACTCTCTATGTGTCCTGTAAACGACTCGTCATCTCCGCCTTTGTCTTTCGACATAACATCGTATGTTTATGAGGGGAAGGGAAAAGCAGAGTCAATTCCGCCAATGATATGCGTTCAATCGCGGAGATGGAGGAGATGAGGGGAGGGGAGACTGAGGAGAATTCTTGAGGAGATTGGGGAAGTTCGCGGACAAACGAGCACCGAGCAGACCGAGGTGACTAGTTCCGGCGGCCGCCAGGTCGTGGTTCGTGGGTAAGTATGAGGGATTTCACACTTACTTATCACTAGGTGGGTAGTAAGTACCCTAAGTACCTATGTAAGTAACTCGTACTCCATAGATACCTACTTGTGTGGGGAGCAAGAGCGGATAATCCTTTTTTCACGAGCCAGCCACGTGTTTCTTGGGTATTACGACTCCGTCCCCGTCTCAAGATCAGACATGTGGCTGTGGCTGTGGCTGTGGGCTCCCTAAATCAAATTTGGGGCGGGAGGTGGAAAAAAGTCAAGGGAATTGTAGAATGTGGAATGTACATTGTGCGCCATATATATGCCCGTGGTACCTTCGTGGGTATACCGCGCCCTTTGAGGGACTATATTCTTTGGTACTCGTATGAGGTAAGTACTACACAGAGGACGTGTAGGGGAGTCATCAGCAGGTATGTAGGCATATCTATATGTACGTAGGTGCCTGGGTTGAGAGAGAGAGAGCGCGCTACTCGATATACGCTGTACGAGTAGACGCATACAGAGGCCTGGGCTGCGAGTGACAAAAGTCCCCTGCATGTACCTCCCTCACAGCTCCGTGACTCTAGGGTATGGATAGATAGCTCTTGCGTTCCTTACCTCCCCCCTAAAAACGTATGTGGCTGTCAATGAGGCTCCATGATCGAATCGAATCAGATGATAAGTCGATACTGTGACATCGGTGGAAGGGGGGTTGGTTTCAATTGGGACCATTGGTGTGTCAGGAGGTGACGAGGCTTTTCTTTAGATCAGCGACCACAAAAAAGATAGGTCGGTCAGCCACAAAAAGATGCAGACCAGCTGCGAAGGCTGGTTAGGAAATGAGAGGGAAAGGAAAGGAGAAAGAGAGAAAACAAGGGGGAACGAGG